TGCGATTTGGCCGACCCTCGGTGGATGATTGTTTTGTCAAAGAACATTCAGAGGATGTAGCAGCAGTGTACTGACAACAGACCAGCAGCTGACTGAGACTCATCTGACTGCAGCACGTCCTGTGGGCAACACTGCTGACAAACTGACACACACACACACACACATCGATGTGACAACTGCCCACCTGTCGCTCTGCAGCACCAGTGAAACCCAGTCAAGTGTCAGTGTCACAGGACGAGTGTGAGAGAAACACTGTTCACAGTTCGTGTGTGTGTGTGTCATGTTAGCATGTTAGCTGCTCTACTTTACACCAACACAGAACTCCTGTAACAGTCGTCTCTTCAACTCTGACTCTGACTCTGACTCGTCAGTTATATTGATGTGTTCAATGGTAGTTAGAAATTTCAATATCTGCCCAACACAGGTCGTATCACTACACCTGTGATTCTCAACCTCTGGTCCGGGGGCACATTAGTGTGCCGTGAGAGACCATGAGATCATCTCATATACTGTACATATGTCAGTAATCAGAATTTTACAAAATAAATGCCGGTGAATAACAGATGTTTACAATAAAATAAATAATGCAATTAATTAATCATTATTTTCATTAATTGAATAATCAGCATTAATTAATGAATTATGTTTTTTCAGCCTTAATATATACACACATATATATATACACACAAATATGTCAGTATAAAGTACGTCTTTTTGCTGGAGGTCGACTGTGTTACAGATGGGACTGTAACCTCTGAACATGAATGTTCTTTGACAAAACAATCATCCACCGAGGGTCGGCAAAATCGCATCTACTCTGTCAAAAGCCCCATCATTGGCCCGCTGGGAGGTGATGTCACCGCCCGCAGCGCTGACATACAACCTCTGTAGAAGCTGCACAAGGCCGGCTAACGAGCAGCAGCAACGTAGCTGCTGGGCTGCGTTCCACCGTCACCAACGGGCCGGTATTAATGACTCCTGCGGTCGTGCCCTGGAACAGCCCCACTGTGATGAGCACTGGGAGAGAGGTATCGATCCGGGTCCCGCTCCTTGTACTGAGGGTGAAAATACAGCCGCCGGGGACTGGCTTCTGCAGTCACCTTCAATAATCACCTTTTTCTCCTCATCCATTCTCCTTCAGCCGCACGTCCAGGACATTTACCTCAACAGTCCACTCTAATTACTGGATGCAAACTGCAAACTGTGCAACTCTTCATATATATATACAGTATATATATACATATATATATATATATATAAATATATATATATATACTGTATATATTACTGCTTTTCTTTCCATCGTGGTTACATCCATAAGTGTGTAGGGCTGAGTCCTGGACGCGTGACTTATTCCGACTCAGAATGACGGCAACGTTGATAAACAAAATGTGTTTCGATACAATACAGTGTTTCATAATGAGTGAGACTGTGTCCGACTAAATACAAAGTCCATGTTTACAGTATTAACACTTGAGATGAAGATGAAGCAGCACGTACTCACTGCCTGGTGAGAATTTGCTGAAGTTATATCATCATGGCTTCTGTGCATAATGGCTGGTGTTTTTTTTTTTGTTTTTTTTGGTTTTGTTTTTTTTTTTAGCTGGTTTCAAAAACCTGGGTAACAACTATAAACTATAAAAAACATTATTATGTTATTATAGACATTTGAGTGGATTTGAAACGCAGTATTATGAATCATAATATCATGTTTAGACAGGGTTATAAACCAGGGCATTTATGCTGCTGAAGTTATATCATCATGGCTTCTGTGCATAATGGCTGGGGTTTTTTTTTTTTTTTTTTTTTTTTTTTGGTTTTGTTTTTTTTTTTAGCTGGTTTCAAAAACCTGGGTAACAACTATAAACTATAAAAAACATTATTATGTTATTATAGACATTTGAGTGGATTTGAAACGCAGTATTATGAATCATAATATCATGTTTAGACAGGGTTATAAACCAGGGCATTTGGCCCATTGCTCTGTTTGGACACTGGAGGCCGCCATCTTTAACCCTGCATTGCTCCTCACATATACCTACACTGTACACATACACACACACACACACACTGTCAGGTGCACAGCCCGTTGTACTCGTAAAGCAAATGGAGAATTTCCATTGTGGCCTCACTCCCCACAGAGGGTAACCGTAGCAACAAAAACACACAAACGACAGTCTCACTAAAACCAAAAACTCTGAAGACTTTTCCATCTGTGTTTCATGGAATTATGACAAAAAAAAGTTCCAAACTCAAAGTAAAACACACCAAAAAAATACAGTCTTCGATGAACCTCAACGTAAAACAGTTCATCCTAAAAAATTGAATTTACTGTTTCGTGTCACATTTAAACTGTAATTTATACTAAATATTGTAAATTGCTCTGCTTAATAAAAAAACTCAATT